AAATTGGTTGTGAACCTGAAAAAATAAATAAATAAATAAAATAAAATAAGATTGAATGTATATTTAGCTTTGGTTGTGAATCTTAAAAAAAAAAAAAAAAAAAACAAAAAAAAAAAACAAAAGAAAAAAGATTGAATGTTTATTTAGCTTTGGTTGTGAATCTTAAAAATTAAAAAAAAAAATGGTTGTGAACCTTAAAAATAAAAATAAAAATGATTGGAGGTATATTTAGCTTTGGTTGGGGATCTTAAAAAAAATATTGGTTGTGAACCTGAAAAAATAAATAAATAAAAAAAAATAAAAAAGATTGAATGTATATTTAGTTTTGGTTGTGAATCTTAAAAAAAAAAACAAAAAACAAAAAACAAAAGAAAAAAGATTGAATGTTTATTTAGCTTTGGTTGTGAATCTTAAAAATTAAAAAAAAAAATGGTTGTGAACCTTAAAAATAAAAATAAAAATGATTGGAGGTATATTTAGCTTTGGTTGGGGATCTTAAAAAAAATATTGGTTGTGAACCTGAAAAAATAAATAAATAAAAAAAAATAAAAAAGATTGAATGTATATTTAGTTTTGGTGGTAAATCTTAAAAAAAAAAATTTAAAAAATATGGGGAAATTAGTGTGTACCCATCCCCAACCCATCCCCTGTGAATATTTAAAAAATATCACTTACCCTACCCAATAGATAAGAAAAAAAAGGAGAAAACCCATGTTTTTGGGTTGGGTCTCCATAGATACACACATGATAGGTTATGCATTGCCATCCCTAGTTGTTATTGCAAAACAATGAATGTAATTTTATCAAAATTATAAGTAACTTTAATTTCTTTGTTATTTAGGAGCAAGCATAGTATATTGAAAGTCACGTTTTCAAAAGAGTACAGTTTCCTCCAATTGATTGCCCTTTACGGACCACATTAATTATTCGGCCTGTTTGTCTAATATGTATCTATAGATATATTGTTCTTTAAAAAAGAATTATATTGATTTGCTAATTGTACCATATTCACTACAATAAATTTGAGTTTTAAAGACGAATTTTTAGGAACAAAAATAATTAGTTTGCAAAAATCATGTTTTTAAGAACAAAATGAAGAAATTTAAAAAAGAGAAACATTTAATCATGTTATTACCTTTTTGAAACAAGTCTATTTGGTTGCAAAAACGTCATTCACTTTTCTCTACAATTTTAATCGGTTTCCAATAAACTCAAATCATACATTATTTTATTTTATATATTCATTCTTTAAGCTCAACAATCGGGACACTCGAAAAGAATGTCCTCTCTCTCTCTCTCTCGCGCGAATGCACTGCACTTCTTTCTATCTCATGAATTGGTGGTTTTTTGATTGCTTCTGAGATTCAATCCCTAATTTGATCTTGATGATAATTTCATCTCCGAGGTGTCTCATAGCATTTCTCCCGACAGCGATTTTAGTATCCAGGAATGATCGATTAATCGATTTCAGTCTCATAGATATGGTTTTCGATCTGTTGTTCACATTTGTTCTTCGAAAATTCTTATTTATTGGTGTAATGTTTGTGCTGATTATATATTATCATATATGATTTGTTTTTAATGCGTATTTGTGAGTGTTAGATTCGGTAATTGTAGATATGATAGTCGATTACTCATTTGAGCTAAAATATGTACGAAATCAATGATGTTGTGGTTTTATATTGGAGTTTTTGCTCTGTAATTTTGGTAATTTGGATTTGGTAATTGTGCAATTGAGTTGGTCTCTGTCACTATATGAAATTCGGTCACTAGAGCTCTATGAATTTGAATTTCTGCAACTGTTTTTCTGTCTACTGTTAAGCAAATTTCTCTCTTCATTACTGAGAATTCAAGTATTTTCAACTCTTTCTATCTCTCTGCAATATTTGTAATTTATGAGTTATTGGATGGCTATTTAACACAAAATTATTTGGGTGAACTTTTACTAGTGTCAAGGTGACAACATAGCATAGGTTATGACCTTCAATTCAAGTTCTATGAAAATAAAAATAAAAATGAGGCAATTCAAATTCCAGAAGATCTTAAATTGTCAAGTAGCTAATTATTGGTATTTTTTAATTTAAAATCATTAAGTCATCCTTATTTCAATCTCATATCCAACAAGAAAAGAAATATGTGTTCAGCCTCACTTTTTTGTTTAATAGTGTAACGACCCAATCTTGGCAAGGCAAAACCCCGCCAAGAGGGTGCACCTCAAACGCTATAGCACCTTTACACCACAATTCCTGTATAATCCTTACATCACATCACCACATCACCAAAAGTGCATAAGACCTTTCAATTGCCCAACATGTATGAGATGATCTATTCAAAGACAAAAAGTATTATCATGCTATAAGATAGTTCTCAAGCATTTCCTCCCCAAAAATAATACATACTATTCACGAATCCATCAATACATCCAACTTCATGAGCAACTATTTACAATCAACCTCCTTCATTAAAAAAAAAAAAGTAAACTTACATCCTAGAATGACCCTAAGCAAAACCTCAACTACAAGATGCCCACATTTGATCCTTCAAAAAAAATTCTAGTCTTCCAAGTTGAGGCGAGCCACACAAAAGTCTATGAATCTGGAAAAAAAATTATTTAAAAAGAATGAGCTAAAACTCAATGAGTATACCAATACCATGGCGTTATAAAACTTGCTCCTTCCAATTGGGTTCAAAATAAAGATAATAAACATAAGAGCTTAATTGGACTGAAATTTATACAAAATAAAAAAAAAAAAGATGAAATGTAATTTTCATAAAACGATATCAAGATTTTTCCAAAGAATCTCATAAGGCAGAAAAAAAAAATACATTTGAATAATGAATGACTACGAAAAGTCGAGTCCGAGCTGTAGCGAGGGTCCCCCGCGGGCTTGTTACATCAATACATTAAGATTTCCTGTCCATCATACAATCCACTACATAGCCTTAGGGTCGCGTTACCTCGCGACTTAGATGGTGACGGTACCGTTACCCAAAACATAACCATAGGAACATAGCTCATGTCATCGTAGCACTTCAATTCTTGTTTCAATGTTTCGGTCCCTGGGACCCCATATACATACAACGACCCTTATGGTCCTTAAAACATTTCGGTCCTCAGGACCCCAAAGCATTTTGGCCCTTGTGGCCCCGAAGGCTATATTCGGTTATATGATCAATAAAATAAATACCCTCAAATAGCGTTTCATTGTCATTCAATCATCATCATCATAAAATTTGAAAGACTCAACTTAAATAAATTCTCATAAAAAAATTAATGCTTCATTATACAAATGAAATCGTATCTTTATTAAAACTCAACCCTTGGCCTCAATAAATTTATAGATTTTCTTTTTATACATATATCATGATGAAATGTATCATTCACTTCCTTTAATTCAAAAATTATTTTCAAACTTTGTAATAAAGATAGAGGTAAGGTAATTTCCATGGTAAGTATACTCACCTCCAAAAATAGCAAAAGTATAGATTTAAAACTCTACAAATTAATTTCCAAGAGGTGGAGAGATGCCTTCCTCCAATCCTAACAATTAGTAAATAGGATCTCAAATTAGGAAAAACTTTCAATGAAAATTACAACATCTACAAAAATGATCCTAAATAAAATTATGCTAAGGAATGGCAAGCTAAAGAACTCCTCCAACTTTAAGTCACCCAAACAAATAACTTATCCAATCTCCACAACACCCATCCTTTGCACATCTTTGAGTTAGTAACTTTTTAAATATCCAATCAATTTATATGCACAATACCAACTACAAAAGTCAAAAATGAACATTTTTTTATAAACTCAACAACTTAAGTAAAATCTCTTCAATCATTTATAAAATTCCTCCATAGAACATAGAGATACCCAATCCACCATTTATCAAATCAATTTCAGCATATAAATTTCCTAACACCAAAATCTCCAATTTTTACATCACATTCAAACCCTAGATTAACCCAAAATCTTAATCTCCAAAACAACCATCAAATTGATCATTTTTCAACATGTAAAACATTCATAGAAACTAATTGAGAGTATAAAATTCAACAATCAAACCCCAAATCATAATAGATCTAAAATACAAAAAATTTCATCATCTCTAACTCAAAATATGTAAAACTTTAAACTAAACTTTTAGAGAAAGATTCTTACCAATTACAAGCCTCTAATCCATCAAGAAAATAACCCCCATGCTTTGATTCTTCAAAAGATTAAGAAAAATCTAGAGTTGGTGCTTCGATTGTGCTATTTTCGGACGGATTTAAGGAGTGGCTGACCGGACCCTTTTTCCGGCGAGATTAGGTGGCCGGCGGTGGTAGAGATGGTGGGTTAAGGTGGTGGTGTAAGGGTGGAGCAAGGGTGTAGTGTTTGGCCACCAAGAAGGTAAAGGAAAAAAATGAGAGAGAATGTAGAGAGAAGTTAGAGAAGGATGAATGAAGACAATGAAGAAGAAAAAAAAATCTGCACTTCTTTTCTTTTTCTTTTTTTTTTTGTGTTGAAATGGGGTGTTTGGTCACACCTACTATTAAGTTTGGAGTTGGGTTTAGATATCCTAAATGGAGTTTAACATTGGAGTGTGTTTGGCTCTAGATGAAATGTTGGGAATCTTATAAATAAATGGACAGATAGATTGTGTTCAGCCTTCTTCAATTATTTCAATGTCACCTCTGCAAACTGTTTTAATTTGAACCGTTGTGGGATGGTGGGGTACTTTATCTAACAAAATATCTAGGAGTTCACCTACTTGCATCTTAGAGCTGAAAATGAAATTCTACATTTTTTTATTTTTTGTAAGGGACTGATTGGTAACAAGAGGATTTTTAGAGAGAGAGAGTTACTGGTATTGAGATGGAGATTGGAATCCAAATCATCAAATTTGCATATGTTGTTAAAATTCGTAATAAGTTTGAAAAAAAAAATATTAATGAAATATAAATCTAGAGATTTTTTATTTTTATTTTTTTATAACTAAATTTGCATAAAGAATTAATGTATATTATTACAGTTTAAATCAAAATATAGGGACCCATTTGTAAATTAAAAAAAAATAGAGCCTAAAAAACAAAAATTAATTTGTTGATCTTATTTTTATGGAGATTTTAATAAGGGCCCTATAGACCATAAGAATTTACAGGGCAGAGGCATAATAACACAAAATCAACAAGGTTATGATGAAAAAGGATTGAATTGCTTTGGCCAAGCACAAGACTTGAGCTGGATTTAATTTCTATTGGTTATATTTAAGCTTGAGTTGGATTTAATTTAAATTGGCTTACATTAAATAATATTTTACTTTGTGTTATGTTTAAATGTTAATGACTTATTTTTTTTAATTATTTATTATTGATTGACATCTAATTTTAGCATCATATTTCCTATTTTAGTATATCCTAATTTTTAAGCTTTTAAGCATGTTATGTTCTTTATCCCCTCCTAGTTCAACACTTTGGTTACTTTTTGTTTTTTTTTGTTTTTTTTGTTTTTCCTTTAGTTCTTTTGCACCATGGGTAGGAGTTGGATGCAACTTCATAATAGAAGGTCACCCCAGTACATTGATGGGGTGAGGGAGGGAATTTATCATATTTGCTTGTGATCATATGAAACCAGGGGTGGATAAGAGGTACATTATGCTGGAAGTTCTTTGAACCCATATCTAAATGATGATATTATGGACCTGGTTTCTTGGAATGAAGATGATGACAGTGAAATTTTTTTATTGTTTGGTATGACATGAAGGTAAGTTTACCAATGAACCCTATACTATTGAATCTATCCTGAAATTGATGCACGGCCGATATAAGAACTATCGCCATGACCTACAACAACTCTTTAGAAGTTAGAAGGTTCCCTACAATGGAATCTGCCCTTGCGGATCCACCTGAAAATATGGAAAAAGAGGTGTGGAGGTTATTGTGCAAAAAGTGGTATGAGAAGGACTATAAGGTAACTTTGTAATTTTGTGCTCATTTTCTGTCAACCCGTTTAGAAAATTAGTGTATTTTTAACATTGTCTTATTGTATATTAAATATGATGTATTCCTTATGTCAAGTAAATATTTGGCACTTGCATATATTCTTTAGGAACTTGGATTTGTTGAGTTGTATAAAAAGACACATTTTAGTGACAAAAAAGAGGCATGAGTGCATATTGATGTTGAGATTTAGACATGTAAGACATCAATCTTTATGTACTTTCGTTTCTTATGTCTTTAATAAAATGTAGATGGATACTTAGTTTTATCTCAACTAATGAATATTGTAATACAAGCTTGAAAAGCGATTGAACAAAACTATTGAAGACAGATCTGGTCCGCTATCCAATGAGCAACTTTCTATTGAGGTATTTAGACAAAAAGTTGGCTACATACGAGGCTTAGGGCGTGGTCGAAAACCATGTACAACATTATCTGCAAACGTACTCGTGCCCAACTTGACTATAATGCCAAAGTCGACTTCTTGATGCAGTAGATCAGTTAAAGAGGGCCCTCTATTGATTTTTCTTCTTAGTAAGTTATCTTTTGAGATCTATATTTGATTTCTTTTGTGGGTTTCTATACAGCAGCATTAAGTAATTTACACATTCAGCTTGTGACTGACAAAACATACACATTGCATTAGCATTCTCTCTCTCTCTCTCTCTCTATATATATATATATATATATATCTGTTCTCAGTTAATGTCTTCATCATCTGCTCAGATGCTGCATGAGTGGGACTTTTATTTTTTTTTTCGTTATGATGTGATCTCTACTTTTTAGCTATAAACTGCATGAAATTTTACATCTTTTGCTTCCATATACATGCGTATGTTGAATTGGTATGTGTCGAGAATTTTCTTGAGCTTCACGACAATTTTATGGTTGAAGGAAATGGATCTTTTGGGTTAGGAAAGTTACTTTTGTTGGAGATTGACGTCAGTGGGAGTTTATTCCTTTTGCAAATGTACATGTTCGTGGAGAATGACTTGTCGTGAACATAAAGTAAAGGTGAGCTTGCTCTCAATTTGTCTTAAATGTAATTGGCTGTAAATTATAGGCTGCCTCATTTACTGATCATTTTTTTTAATTTTTTTTTTCCATCAACTTAAACATCAATCATCCAACTTTTTAGGGATACTCCCATAATAGCAGAGCACCTTGCTTATGCTATATAATGATAGAAGCTAGTTTTTGGGGTGTAAGCTGGTTTTTGCTTTTGCTTTTGCTTTTTAATCATCATTTTGGGTAAGTAATTAGAAAGGAAAGTAATTATATCTTCATTGTTTCTTATTAGCATGTCTTGCAAGCTTGGTCAAAGATCTCAATTCTATGCTAGTCGTGCAAGCTTGCGTAGATTTGAAGGTTTGAAAGCTTTTTACGAGATTTTGAATGCCATTTCAACAAAATCCTTGAGAAGAATCTCTATCAGTTTATCATCTTTTGGAAATAATCAATAATGACTTGTACCCCCTTTTTTTCCCACCCCCTTGAGCCCCTCTTCACCTGATTGGTCATTTTTTTTTCTTTTTTCTTTTTTTTTCCCCTTCTCCTCCAATCACCACTCGCCACGTGTGTGTGGGGGGGAGGGGGTAGTGATTCGAGGGGGTCTCAATCATCACCCTGGAAATGATACTTTTAAAATCTCTATTAATTTATGATATGCAATCCAGAGATATTATGTACCTCTGAATCAGAGCATGGTATTTGGTTGTTATTGACATATCTTTTGATTAAGCCTTTTTGAATGTGACAAGCATGTTTTTTTCTCTTTTTTTTTTATATTTTTTTTGGTGGTGTTGAATTTTAATTTCGAGATACATAGATGGTCTAGTGATATGTTTGATATTTTCTGTTTGGTTGTTGAGCAATCAAGTAAGGAATATGAGTTTCTGTTCAAACTAGTATTTTTAGAGTAATTGTTAATCAAAATATTATCAAACTTTTAGAGACCAATTTTAATTATCTCAAAAAAATTATGGTTGCGTTTGGTAGAGCTTTCTAAATATAATTTGAGAGTAGGAGTTGTATTTTGAGTTTGTGATTTTTAGAATTATTATTTGTTTATGTTGTTCTGTACTCAAAACGACGTCGTTTTGGCCATTTGAGCTACTTTTGAGCAACAAAATTTGAGCTACGTAGCATTGTCGGTCGAAATATTATCAAACTTTTAGAGACTAATTTTAATTATCTCAAAAAAATTATGGTTGCGTTTGGTAGAGCTTTCTAAATATAATTTGAGAGTAGGAATTATATTTTGAGTTTGTGATTTTTAGAATTATTATTTGAGTGTGGAAAATTTGTTTGGTGAAAGAGTTTTGAATTGAGTGGGGAATTTTTGATGCGACATATGATATTTGATACAAAAATTTACAACTTATAATTAAACATACAACTCAAAATTCTATTAAAGCTCATAATTTTTTTAAAAAAATTCAGAAAATATTTTTTTCGAATATGTAAAAATTAACAGGTGTGAATTGAATTGAGTGGGGAATTTTTGATGTGACATATGATATTTGATACAAAAATTTACAACTTATAATCAAACATACAACTCAAAATTCTATTAAAGCTCATAATGTTTTTTAAAAAATTCAGAAAATATTTTTTTCGAATATATAAAAATTAACAGGTGTGAATTGAAAAAAAAAAAAAAAAAATTCTGTTCCGGTCAACCGGCCGGTTGACCGGTCAGACGTCCGGTTAGCCCAAATTTTCCTGCCTTCAACCGAGTTTTTAAAATTGAACGTGAAATTAACTTTTGAAAATTGTAAATAAACGTCATGTGCAAAATAAGTTCTGAAATTAACGTTTCAGAGTTGTACTAAACACAGCCTATAGCTTTTATAGACCACTTTTAATTGTCTGGAAAACTAAGGCTGTGTTTGGTTGTGCTTTTGAAATGTGATTCTATATGCTAGTTTCAGCTCCATGTTTGGTAAGAGTTTTGGAATTAATTTTCCAAAATTCTGCCGAAAACTCTGTCCATTTTGCGCGTTTCTTGTATTTTTTTTGGCCAGGGGAAGACCGCCCGGTCGTCCCTAGGGACTACCACCCGGACGTCCTTGGGGACATCATCCACCCGGATGTCTATTGTACAGATTTTTTTTATTTTTTATTTTTTTGCAATTGATTTATATAATTGGGAAAAATATTTTCTGAATTTTTTTTAATTTTTAATGTGCTTTAAAATAATTTTGAGTTGTATGTTTAGTTAGGAGATGTAAATTTTTGTATCACATATCAAATATCACATCAACAATTTCTCACTCAAATCAAACCTCTTTTCCAAAACTATTTTCAAAACTCTTTACCAAACAAATTTTCTACTTTCAAATCATAATCCTACAACACACAAACTTAAAATACAACTCATATTCTCAAATTATATTTTCAAAACACAACCAAACGCAACCTAAAACTTTTACACATCACATTTAATTGTCTGAAAAACTAAAACTTTAATGGACCAATTTGTGTTGTCTCAAATACTAAATTTTCGGACCAATTTGTGTTGTCTCAAATACTAAATTTTTGTCTCCATAACTACTTTTTTTTTTGGCCTGGGTTGTAATATACTTTTAGAGACAAATTTTGGTTGTCTCAAAACTAAAACTTTTTGCAACCACATATTTTTGTTTTAAAAAGTTTATTTATAGTGACAAATGTAAAATTTTGTCTCTAACAGTTAATTTTTGGCTTTTCCAGACAGACCATTTTGGACTAATTTCGTGACGAAGGAAATTTGTTGGCCAAAGTTTTTTGTCCTAACAAATATTCCACTTTTTGGGACAGAATAAATTTGTCTATAAAAAGCTGATTTCTTGTGGTGATTTTTGAAATCTAAAATCATATTTTCCACAACACTATTTCATGAAATAATTAGAATTTAAGAAATGAGAAAAAAAATGGATTTAGTGTAAATAATTGGGTACCTGTGGCGGCTGTGAAGCCCACGTAAACAGAGCTAGGAATTGTATGCCACAACTTCATTGTATGATTGAGAAAGCTCACTAGTGGATCCCCATTATACCAGACATAAATCTGAAGATTCTTGGTCCACCCATCATATTCGACGCGAACCGTTATTTCTCTACCCGTCTTGAGATATATTCCGGTGCTGTTGAGGCTCTTCACCGCAACCGGGTTTTGTACGCTTACGGTGTCAATTGCGATGTGGTTATCATCCGGGTCGAATTCATTCTTGTACGTGTCGAACTCTATTGCAAGTTGATGAACTACACCTGTAATAATAATAGTACACATCAATTACTCTAAGATCAGTCTTTTAGACTCTGTTTCTTTGTTTTTTTTGGTTTTGTTTTTGTTTTTTTGTGGGTTTTAAACTTCAAAAAATTGTGAAAAGTGAAATTAAAAGAGAGTGAAGTAGAGAAATATATATATTATTGTAAGCATTTGATTAAAATGAAATTTTTGTAAGAAAAATTTGAAAAAACGGGTCACAATTTAAGGTTCCACATCTTCGTTGCATTTGTTATTCAGAAATGTTATAGTGCATGTTAGGGAAAATCGATGTGATTCCCCACAAGTAAATCAATCAATGGGAATAAAAACTAATGCGGAAAAATTAAATCAAAGGCAACACAAGAATTTTTACGTGGTTCCCTCAATGTGAGGTACGTCCACGGGATCGAAATCCGATTCCACTATCAACCAAATAATTCCAAACGATTACAAACGAGACACTAATGGTCTCACAAAACACCCTTAGGTGAATTCCAAATAATCACAAATAAACAAAGAGGAAAGACCTCACCAAATAGAAGAACCAAAATCTTCTGAACCAAAGTTGAAGAAGACCTAAAATAACGAACTAAATCATCCAACTTATGAAGCCGAAACCGAAGAAGCCAACCGAAGATTCCATACCTTAATCAAATAAGCCACTGGATTGACTTTTCCATATGCACTATCTCACAAAACAAATTGATCAATGAAGTGTTTCACAAAAACGGCTGCTGTTTTTTCCTCACGCACCGAGCAAAAAACCATAAACAATATATATATATATATTGTTAAATCTAGGACTTATTTTATTAAAATCCTAATTGTATCCAAATTGAATTGGGTCTCCTCAAATATAATATATAAAAATATATTATACTAAACCAAGCCAAATTAAAACTTTTAATAAATCAATTGGGTCCCACACTCCAATAAGGAGGTATACCCAACAGTGCAATCGATAGTTTTTTGGATAATTGATTGTAGGGCAGAGATTTAATCATATAAATCAATTTGAACTATAAATGGATATTTTTTTTAATCGGTAAAAGAAAGAATCTTTTTGATGAAAATAAAAAATATTACATAAATAAAGAAAAATGATGAGTGCAAAGAATATTGTAACGAAATAAACCAATCCTAACAAGGTTGGTACTGAGATGCGTGCTCAATCATTTGCTAACACACTATTAAAAATTAGTGAGAAACCAACTAAACAATAAACGGCAAAGTAGCAAATCAACAAAGCAAAAACCCCTGCAACAAACTAAAAAAAACCATAGATGGATGTTTAGTAAAATTCGAATAAAATTTTGAAGTTTATAGTATAAGTGTTTGTTATTTCCCAAGATATAAAAAAGAGGAAAGTAAAAGAGAAGAATGAAAGAAACAATAGTTGCAAAAGTCCCTTAAAATAATATATACTCAATTTTTATTTAGGATATTATCTAAGAGCATCACTCTGTCATACAGATTCATTTTATACATAAATCACACAATATATTAATTAAATCTCAATCACACATCGCCTGATAATTTTCTTCACAAAATTTCTAAAATATTGGTAAACTTTTCCTAAAAGAAAAAAGAAAAGAAAAATAAAAAAAGATAGGGAATCAACATCGTAAAAAAGATAAAATGACGTGGCACAATTTTACGGTCCATTTAGCGAATCAACATCGTCTCTTTTCATCTCTCCTTAACTGTTTCTTTGTTAGGCTATTAAACCCGCTTTTGGATTCAATTTTGATGATCGAAACCGTTTACATTTTAAAATTTATTGAATATATCATACTTATAAAAAATTAAATTGATCGAATATTAGAAAATATGTGTTCGGAAAACTATTTATTAAATTTTAAAAAAAAATAATTTGTAGTTCAATGATCCGAATAAGTAATTTTTAATATCCGACTAACTTAATTTTTTTACAAATATAATATATTTAACAAATTTTAAATATAAGTTGAGAGTAGGAGTTGTATTTTGAGTTTGTGATTTTTAGAATTATTATTTGAGTATGGAAAATTTGTTTGGTGAAAGAGTTTTGAAAAAAGTTTTGAATTGAGTGGGAAATTTTTGAAGTGACATATGATATTTGATACAAAAATTTACAACTTATAATTAAACACACAACTCAAAATTCTATTAAAGCTCATAATTTTTTTTAAAAAATTCAGAAAATATTTTTTTCGAATATATAAAAATTAACAGGTGTGAATTGAATAAAAAAAAAAATTTTGCACTGTTCCGGTCAACTGGCCGGTTGACCGGTCGAACGTCCGGTTAGCCCAAATTTTCCTGCCTTCAACCGAGTTTTTAAAATTGAACGTGGAATTAACTTTTGAAAATTGTAAATAAACGTCATGTGCGAACTAAGTTCTGAAACTAACGTTCCAGAGCTGTACTAAACACAGCCTATAACTTTTATAGACCACTTTTAGTTGTCTGGAAAACTAAAACTTTTACACACCACATTTAATTGTCTGAAAAACTAAAACTTTAATGGACCAATTTGTGTTGTCTCAAATACTAAATTTTCGGACCAATTTGTGTTGTCTCAAATACTAAATTTTTGTCTCCATAACTACATTTTTTTTTTTGCCTGGGTTGTAATATACTTTTAGAGACAAATTTTGGTTGTCTCAAAACTAAAACTTTTTGCAACCACATATTTTTGTCTTAAAAAGTTTATTTATAGTGACAAATGTAAAATTTTGTCTCTAACAGTTAATTTTTGGCTTTTCCAGACAGACCATTTTGGACTAACTTCGTGACGAAGGAAATTTGTTGGCCAAAGTTTTTTGTCCTAACAAATATTCCACTTTTAGGGACAGAATAAATTTGTCTATAAAAAGCTGATTTCTTGTGGTGATTTTTGAAATCTAAAATCATATTTTCCACAACACTATTTCATGAAATAATTAGAATTTGAGAAATGAAAAAAAAAATGGATTTAGTGTAAATAATTGGGTACCTGTGGCGGCTGTGAAGCCCACGTAAACACAGCTAGGAATTGTATGCCGCAACTTCATTGTATGATTGAGAAAGCTCACTAGTGGATCCCCATTATACCCGACATAAATCTGAAAATTCTTGGTCCACCCATCATATTCGACGCGAACCGTTATTTCTCTACCCGTCTTGAGATATATTCCGGTGCTATTGAGGCTCTTCACCGCAACCGGGTTTTGTACGCTCACGGTGTCAATTGCGATGTGGTTATCATCCGGGTCGAATTCATTCTTGTACGTGTCGAACTCTATTGCAAGTTGATGAACTACACCTATAATAATAATAGTACACATCAATTACTCTAAGATCAGTCTTTTAGACTCTGTTTCTTTGTTTTTTTTGTTTTGTTTTTGTTTTTGTTTTTTTGTAGGTTTTAAACTTCAAAAAATTGTGAAAAGTGAAATTAAAAGAGAGTGAAGTAGAGAAATATATATATTATTGTAAGCATTTGATTAAAATGAAATTTTTGTAAGAAAAATTTGAAAAAACGGGTCACAATTTAAGGTTCCACATCTTCGTTGCATTTGTTATTCAGAAATGTTATAGTGCAATCGATAGTTTTTTGGATAATTGATTGTAGGGCAGAGATTTAATCATATAAATCAATTTGAACTATAAATGGATATTTTTTTTAATCGGTAAAAGAAAGAATCTTTTTGATGAAAATAAAGAATATTACATAAATAAAGAAAAATGATGAGTGCAAAGAGTATTGTAACGAAATAAACCAATCCTAACAAGGTTGGTACTGAGATGCATGCTCAATCATTTGCTAACACATTATTAAAAATTAGTGAGAAACCAACTAAACAATAAACGACAAAATAGCAAATCAACAAAGCAAAAACCCCTGCAACAAACTAAAAAAAACCATAGATGGATGTTTAGTAAAATTCGAATAAAATTTCGTAGTTTATAGTATAAGTGTTTGTTATTTCCCAAGATATAAAAACGAGAGGAAAGTAAAAGAGAAGAATGAAAGAAACAATAGTTGCAAAAGTCCCTTAAAATAATATATACTCAATTTTTATTTAGGATATTATCTAAGAGCATCACTCTGTCATACAGATTCATTTTATACATAAATCACACAATATATTAAGTTGCCGCCATTGGTGCAGGCTCCGGAGTCGAAGGAAGGGAATGAGAAATTCAAGGAGTCGAGAGAGGTGAAACTAGGGCTGAGGAAGGTGAAGAGGAGGAGTAGAAGTACCAACATGGTTGTAGTTGAAATGAAAGGCTTATCCAATTTGTTTGTGCATCAGAAAATTGCAATTTCCAGTGTCTTTCATTGGATAGAGATGATGGCCACTCCAGTCTATTATTGATGGCCACTCCACTCAATTAATAATCATAAAAAAGATAAAATGACGTGGCATAATTTTACGGTCCATTTAGCGAATCAACATCGTCTCTTTTTATCTCTCCTTAACTGTTTCTTTGTTAGGTTATTAAACCCGCTTTTGGATTCAATTTTGATTATTCGAATCGTTCACATTTTAAAATTTATTGAATATATCATACTTATAAAAAATTAAATTGATCGAATATTAGAAAATATGTGTTCGGAAAACTATTTATTAAATTTAAAAAAAAAAAATTTGTAGTTCGATGATCCAAATAAGTAATTTTTAATATCCGGCCAACTTAATTTTTTTACAAATATAATATATTTAACAAATTTTAAAATATAAATAATCCAGATTATTGAAATTAAACTAAAAAATAGGTCGAATAACCTAGGAAAGGGAGAGTTAGGAAGGGAGATGGTGGAGAAAATCATGATTCCCATCTAGAATGTACCACAGAAAGATCATCCTTTTCAAGCATGGAAATCGAGGTCTAAAGTGACACCAGACAACAGTTTGCTGACCACCCAACGATTTACTTGGTGCGAGGGAGACCTACAAGTCCTGGATACGGGTCAAGCACGGTTGGGAGAAATAAATCACGGTTGGGACCACAGTATTTTTGGTGGGAGGAAGACCAACAAGTCTTGGATACGG